TTGGATACGGCAATTAGCTGGTTATTGGACAGCAATGCAACCAGGCCTGATGACCAAAACTGGCAGGCTCTTACGCCATACTCTTCGGCACCCTGTTAAATTGTCAGTTTGTGCACAGTATGACTATGGCAGACAGTCAATCAGTCTCACATTTCCAAGAGAGAAGGATGTAAACTCGCCGTCCAATCCAAAGTAGCGTCGCACTGTTCCGTCCTCAGAGACGACCAGGAGCTCTTCCTTATCAGACCAGCCTAGCCCGCGAATAGTGGCTTGTTCCCACTGAAACAAGTTAGTATGTTCATTATAATTCGATCATAGAGTGCAAACAAACGTTTATGCGATTGATTCTCTGTCCAGAGCATGAATAAACATCAATTGTAGAACGGGAACCCTGTCCATCGCGAAGTCTGAACGGTTTGCTTTCATCGCGATAAAGCGCTGATTTCCGCGTTAGTCCAGGTCTCCAGATACCCAAAATGGGGACTTACCAATAGCTCCTCCGTAGGGGGCGCCCGCGACAATGTAGTTCTCTAACTCGACGTCGTCCTCGAAGATAGCGTCATACACGGCGATTTTGCGATAAAAGCTGTCTCCAACCTTTTCCCAGTTCGCGAGTGGATTGGGTGGCATGACTGTGGATCTGATCACAGATGAGGCACTGAATCCTCCACCTGGGCAGTTGTTGGATGTTCGAGCTGTTGATCGGGAAGACGGGGTCACGCACGCTAGACCCGATCAGGTGGCTTTATTGCCTTGATTATCAGGCGGCGATTCCCCACCACAATCCTCCCGAGGTCGACTTCTCTTGATAGTTGCTGCATCTTCATTGGCCAACTTGGTCCTCTTCTCAAAACATGGATTATACAGATCTTGCTGATATTGCTCGACAATTATCTGACCTTGAAGTGGCCATTTTACTATGTCTCGTTGCCCGCGAACATTGCTTGATCGAGACCACCAGCCACTGTATTAATGACCTTGCTAAAGAACTTGCCTTAGTATGTCAATGTACCCAGAATATTGAGAAGATGTCTAATGAAAGATAGATTGGGTCAACTACCTTCAATTACACATACTGCATCCTTGACTGTTCATCTGCAACATCTATTGAAGACATCTTGAATGATGTCCTCACCCCGGATGCACGCGCAAACTATCGCCCATCGCGTCCGTGGTTGAACACTGAATCGGTATGTCAATGTTACAAATACTTGCTATCATTATACTTGCCAAAGGCTAAAAAAAACCAGTCAAGCAAACGTTCTTCCTATAAGAGTCTTGGGGATTACAGCAAATTACCAACCCCCTTCTCACCACTCAGCAGTAACGTTGTCAATATTGTAGTCGCCAAGAACTTCAATTTTGTCAGCGATGATATCCAAATGCACATGCTGCAGGTATGTATTCTGATCGACAACCCATACAGACAATGCTGATATGCGGGATAGTTAATGCGATCGAGGGAGTTGGTCACTGAGAGCGGGACGCTGAGTGCGCCTCAGGACTTTCTTTTCATCCCTCTTGTAGAACGAGATTCCGATCAACTCCAACCACCTTTGAAACCACATATGGTAAGTATTCTGTGCACGCCCACAGTTTGGCTGCTTTACTTTAGCTAATGCCGCAGTAGAATGATAATCTCTTCATTTCTCATTTCCACAGCCCGGGGGATGGGTATACTTACCTTGAAGAGAATGACTGGCTTTCAGACGGAGAGATTTCGGCTTCCTCTGTTATTCATAAGTCGAAGGGCAAGCAAACGAAAAATGCTACGATCAGCCCGTTGGTAAGTTTGATACTGTTCCAATCCACTTCGATTTTAGATCACGAACTGAACGTAACAATCTAATACCGGGCTCATCAACTTACAGGTGATGGCCCAACTTCGAGAAACAAGTGCGTCGGTGAGCACTAACGCAGAAGTCGTTCGATACATTCAGGATATCGTTGTATTTCTGCGGCTCAGTCGCGCTGTTGCGGGTGGTGTGTCTGCCAACGCGAATATTCAATTTTCTCGATTTGCACAGTGAGTCCAAACTGTTCTCCACCAACAAATTAGGTCTAGTTATTTTAACAATTTTACTCTTCAGACTTCTAGCTCCTCTACATGGTATCGATTATCTGACTCCCTCCATCGTGGCCCTAGCCGCCAGGAAAGTCTTTCGCCATCGCATTGTTGTCACTCCCCCTGGTGAAGACCGCAGTCTGCAGTATGGAAGTAACCTACATGCAGTATCTGATGTTCTCGCCGATGTGACACCAGATTCGATACTGGATGGCGTTCTGGCGCTCGAGCCGCCTCTATGAGATTCCAATGAACCTGCTTAGCTATTCTTGATTACTGCATTAGATACCCAACTGATATAAATTCCTAGGTTGTTTGCTAATAATAATTCAATTTGTGACGAAGTCACATCCTATCATGTCAATTTCAGTATCCTCGCCTACAGTGGAAATAGCAAGACTCTAGTCGGGTTGCGGCGGTCACGGGTATTTTCAGTTCATAAAGAAGACTGCCTGGGCTTCTAGTGCGCATATCCATGGATACATTCCAAGGTTGATGTTTCTAATGCTGAGTCAAGGCTATACATGTAGATAATCACGCTATATATACACCCAATAGATATTCTATATCCACACCTTTACCTGCCAGTATTCGGCCTCAACCTCAAGAACAAGTCTGGGGGCGTGTACTTCCCATCCACACTCCCGTTTCCAGATTCATTTCGATCGGGCGTCAAACACAAATTACCATGAACTGCACCAGCAGGCTGTTCTCTCAATGTCTCCATGGCTTTCGAGTGCGTGCGCCACTCAGACAAAACAACATCGATTTCAGTCTTAGAGTCACCGACGATAGCGTCCATCTTGATATCATTTCTGTCGTAGCCAAATGGATCTTCCAACTGCGAGCCTATTCCTTCAATGCCATAGAGCGTGAAGATGACAAGGCTGACAATGGGAATGGCCCACCATCCCATCTCATCGACCATAGCAAACGGTAAAACACAGCCAAAGAGGGCAAGGACTTGTTTTTGGTGAATCCTGGTCTAGAGTCAGTAATCGAGACATATAAACCTAACTCAACACGCATTAGAGCCATGAAACTTACAAGTGAGCCACTGGGATCGGAGTCAACTTGATCGTTTCCATCCTCCCATATGCATCTGTCAAGGTATTCAACTGAGCCTGCATCTGACTTGCACCAGGCGCAGGATACCATCCTCGCTCTTCGCCACGCTTGATAAATCCATCAATGAAGAAAGTCAACTGGAAAGGAAGGCCTAATCCCTCATCTTCATGACCCTCAAGTCCTGCAGGTAGCAGGTTGGCATATTCGGGGTTATACAGGGTGGATGGATGTATGTTCAGATCCTCATCGACAGCGTTACCAAAGACCCAAGCAGCGCCCCACTCGGCGCGTAAATGATTTTTCACGGCATACGGGATAGCCATGAGAATACGGACAGTACGCTCGATATCCTCACGCTCTGTGGGGGTGGGTGGTCCCCGCTTTGAATTGTAACTATTTGTTGCAATCGTGCGGACTAGGTTACGCACACAGGTGTTGATCGTGTTCATTCCATTGCGCCCGTCCCAAAATCGATTGTAGGATGTTTGATTGCGGAAGACAAGCATCAGACCTACGACAATTGATAAAGATGGGATCTGTTTTGTTATGTTTAGTTGCTGTCTTGTCTGGTTGGCTGGGGGTACATACGATCGTGCTAGGTAGACCGACAGTCTCAAATACGTAGTTGTCCAAGTAAACAATCAAGGCTGTGAATACAGCATGCAGAAAGACCGGGACTAATATGGCACCATGGATTGCACCTTTGATAAAGCGGAAGACAAGTGGCCATCTGCTCAATATTAACACATGCGGATGGCTCCCAGATACCGATTGGTTAGCTTACCTTCTTGGCTTTACCCGCGATGACAGCCGATGGGGATGAGTGCCGCGCCGTTGATGGTGACCGTGTATTGTAGTGTTTTGACGACTCAAGGTCGGAGTGGGTGGCTCGCTGAAATTCAACCTCATCTTGTGAAAGATCTGAGCTTATCGACCGCAGATCAATCTGTGAGGCTGATCCCTGTCAGTAGATCCCGGAAGATGGTCGTATTTGGCTCTTATTCAACCAAGCCCTCGAGTCCGGAGGAGATTGAAATTGGCCCTCGGGGTCTAGGATAGTCAACATCCCAAGGTTGAAAGCGGGTACGGGCGACCTGGCATAACTCTCTCTCATTGGATAATGTTGCCTGGCAATATTATAGATCCACCCTCACTTTACAATTAGTACTCTGTATAATACTAGTCGGCCGCGTTTGCGGCCTTGTGAAATGTTTTTAAATGTCTTTTCAAGTATCTTTTTAAATGTTTTTTCAAATATCTTTGTTTTATAGATATTTTGCTGCTTATCTCAGGCTCATAGATAAACGGCGGAAAAAAGCGGAAAAAGACTCAATTTATAAAATAACTTTAGATATTGGAAGTGTACTTTGTAGTACGGAGTACGGAGTATAGTACTAGGCTACCGCCTACTTCTTAGGTACGTACCCGTATGGGAGATGATTACGGAGACTGACTTGGGTATACCCGCTTCTTTGAGGGTGCGATACGAAGAGCGGTCAGGTAGTATCCAATGAGAGAGTTCTTACAGCATAGTCGCCCGTAAGCGGGTCCAGCGACTCTTTGGATCCGGACCCACTTCACAGTTCTAGGGCCATTGATCACATGACTGTACATACAGTTGACTATTTCATCGAAGTTGGTTAATAAAATAACAGCTGTAATTAGAATGATATATCAATAGTCTCAGTATGGTTGGTCAAATCTGTCTCGTAGATAATATAGTTCAGCGTAGATTCAAGCCAATGAAAGTCCAGCTGCATGAGGGGGCAAATCTGACGTATAGACCTCCTCCACCCAGTATACATACCTTAGAACCCCGAGTTCTTACTAGCAACCCTTTCAAGTCAATCATCCACTCCGTATCACAATGCACGAGATCCTAGTAATTACTTGCCCAAGCGGCAGACAAAGTTCTCATCTCATTCCTCTGTTATACAATAGATCCAGATTCAAACTCCGTCTAGCAGCCCACACCTCCGAATCCGCCTCTCGTCTCCAAACCACCTACCCAGAAGCTGAGGTGCAAATATGCGACATATCCTCTCTCACTGAATGCCGCAAGCTTCTCAGCAACGTAACATCAGTCTACCACGTGGGCCCCTCGCTTCACTCCCGTGAGACAGAAATCGGGGTGAACATGATCGACGCAGCCGTCGCCGAGAGCCAAAAGCCGGATACCAACTTCAAGCACTTCGTCTATTCCAGCGTGCTGGGCACCCAGCATCGAAATCTCATGCAACACGATCACAAGAGTCGCGTCGAAGAAAGACTACTCCTAAGTCCTCTGAACTTCACAATTCTCCAGCCAACCAATTTCATGGACGTGTACCCAGTCGCTGAACTCGCGAAGATAGAGAGCCCGTCTATCGAGTATATCTGGAACATGTACAATCCACATATTGTCAATAGTCTAGTTGCGCTCAAAGATCTAGCGGAAGCTGGGGCCCGGGTTTTGGACGAGCGGGAAGCACACTATTTCGCTCAGTATCCTCTATGCTCGACGTTCCCGGTATCTAATGCGGATTTTATTCAGGTTATTGGGAAGCATATCGGTAAGAAGATCGAGGTTCCAACTCCCACTTTTGAAGAGGGTGTTAGCAAGGTTCTCAAGCTTTTATATCCCGGGGAGAGCGGCGTGTATAGTGGAACTCATGTGCATTCGGATTTGAGATGGCCGGCCTCACAGGGTGAATTACGTCCTGATATTACAAGGGATGAGGCTGAGAGGCTGATTTTGTTCTATAATCGGCGTGGGTTGAAAGGGAATCCCAGTGTTTTGAGGTGGTTGATTGGGAGGGAACCTACGACTGTTGATGAGTGGGTGAAGCTCCAATTGAGAGGATAGTCCTCCTAAAAGTTATGATATTTGTTAGGTAAAGTATATTTAAGTGCTTCAGTGGAATTATATATAGCAAGCTTCCTATTTGTTGTAATACCAAAACAAGTAATCGGAACTTCCGTGTTTCGTGGGAATAACGATGCAACTTTTATAGTTTTAGGTCCTCGGCTTTTCCGAGGTATGACGATTGCCACAAGCTGGAGAAGAAACAAAATTGATACTTTTGTTAACATTCACTTATGTTATACTCCAGCCACAGCCAATTAGAACCTTGAGGGGGCCATTGAGAAACCTCAAAGAGGGGTAAGGAAAGAACAGACTCGCACATGAGCATTTTACTTGATTTCTGCAAATTATCATGGCCTCCTTACTTGATCTACCAGCCGAGATTCGCCTGATGATATACACATGTTTACTCAAACCAAATGAATATGTGAAGAGCTATCGAAAGCTGAAGGACCCAGAGTCATCAGCTAAGGGCGGTCCTCTTTGCGCCATTCCTCGACCTTACGTGAAGCGATATACACCATCTATTCTCCTCCTCAACAAAAAGATTGCTACAGAGGCTCTTCACTATCTATATCAAATACCCCTCAACCTCTACGGCACTCCCAGTACATATTTCGCCATGCGTCAGATGGATATTACAGAATTCATCAGCGAACATTACCTGCAGAGAATCCATCATGGTGTTCTGCGACTAAATCATGCCAACAAGCATTTTGTCCTTTCGATCCTAGACATATGGGGTGCCGAGAATCGACTAGAACGACTCGATGTATATCGTCCCAAGACCCAGCTTGACAATCAACACTGGAAAGTTGTAGAAAGCAGGGTAAGTTTTATCTCGCCGAGACACATGATAATTTCTGATGGCCTTGCTAGCTCTCGACCTTCTCGAGTGTGGTTCCGGTTGTGTTCCACGAGGTCGATAATCCGCTTAAGGTGGAGGCGACCAGGGCCACCTAGGTATTTAGGTAGGCAGGAAAAAGACTGCGGTACGAGTAGACGAGCCAAGCCGAACGTGATATTACCGAATCATAACTAAAAGCAATCAAAATCATTTCGAGGCTAACGAAAGAATGTTCCTGGTTCATCAAATGTGCCGAGATTCGAAACAACAGTCCAGATCTCAAATGGGTATCAGTAGGTTTTGGGGCAGGGGATAAAAGAAGGACAAAATAGAACGCGGGGCCGCCATGACGAATCAAATTAGATAATAGAGGTAAGCGCTATTGAACAATGCAAACGGTGTATATAGAGTGTGCACCCGGAGAAGCCAACGCAGACATGCTTCCTTGCAATGGTGATATCGTAGAATGTCCAGATGATAAACCCCTATAGAAGGGTAGATGCCGATGCCAAAAAGAAGGATAAATATATATTAAGATGCTCAAAGCCCTCGTTTTCCAGAGATCAATTCGACCGAAAGGGATGCATTATGGCATTCCTGCCCGGCCATCAAAGGCCAAAGGACCCGAGTCATTGCGTGGGGTCAACGGGTTATCGTCAGAGGTTGGGGTCTCGGATCGTAGTTGTGATGGGCGACCAGACGGCACATTGAGTGGTTGCGTCGGCTGCCACCCGGGGATGTTGATGGTCGCGCTGCGGGCGAGGTCATCGCTGCTTGAGTTAGGGGCTGGCGAGGCTGAGCTTCGAGTGTCATCCGTTTGCTGGTCATCTACTAGATGCAGGTTCTCAACATCGTTGACCAAGTTCTCTTCTTCCGGAAGATCTCCGAGCTGATCTAACGGTCCTTCCATGCTGCTTGTTTCGATAGCCGAAGGTGCCTCCGTTTCGAGCCGCCCAGCAGAGTCATTGGATGCCCTATCTTCTGTCGGTTCCTTCTCTCGTTTTTCCTCCACGTCATTCGAGTCATCGACCTCGGCGCTGAGATCGGTGAATGCACGGCAGTTGGGGCATTGGAACATTGGATAGTCCGGGGAGTGGAGTAGACGACTGATACATTTGTAATGCCAGACATGCGCGCAGGCTGCCATGAACAAACACTGATAGGGCCGCTTCATTATAGTTAGTAGATGTAGGATTGGTAGGGGAGAAGGGAAGAAACGAACCAAGACAGAGCCCAGACAAATCGAGCATTCGCGACAACCGGAATAATCGGCTGTCTCACCTTTGCCCAAGTTTTTAATAAGGCTTTCTGTGTTTTTGCTGGAATATTTGTTAGCACCACATAACATTCCGGACAATAGGTAAGATCCCACTTGAACTCGTTCGGCTGCTGCTGCCACGATCGATTGCATTCAATTCGAATTCGAACGCATCGGAAGATCATTTCTTCTCCCCCTCGGAAGTCGATACCCAACTGCACGATATCACCGTCTTTGATGGTGTACAGACGGGACACCATATTTGGCTGACTCAAGCGCATGTGGTTCAAAAATGTTCCCGAAGAACTACCAACATCCTTGATGTGCCACTGTCCATTCACGTATAAAAATTCGCAGTGTTTCCGGCTAACGACCTTGGATTTGAACCCAACGGGGGCATCTGAGGGTTCGGTCGGGTTGGGGAGGGGCACACCATCACGCTCCGAGTATCGACCGACCCGAATAACACAGCTCTCTGATGGCAGGGTTCGGGCGACTGGGACGAAGGGTAGCGAGGGCCTCGAACTTTGGAGAGCGTCTTGGTAGGGGAAAAATCGAATAGTCGCCTTGGTCTCCGATTTCGAGGGGGTCCCCTGCCCATCTGCCGGAGCGCTGGTGGGTTCGGTCGCATTACCTTGAACAGCGCCCGGTTCAGGGGACGGGGTGGACTCCTGAGAGTTGTCCGTGGCACGCTCTAACGTACGAGGTGGCGGACGATGGGCGGCCGAAGTGCTCCTCAGGCGCGCCATGGAATTGGGCGTTTGAATGGGGTCGTTGGAAGGTGTAGAAGCGGCGGAATCGGTGGATGATACTTGGCTATTGAGTTCGGTACCAAAACCGTAACTTGGGGCGGGCGCAGAGGTGTAACGAGAAAGGATTGGATGGTCACTTTCTGGGCATGGAGCTGGGGAGCTTGCTGTCGGAGAGATGGAGCCCGGATTTGAGAACCAAGGAATTCGGCTACTCAAACTGTGTCTATACGAGTGCTGCCCGCTGGGCAAGGAGGCCTGATTCTGAGTGTAGGTTCGTAAACTGAAGCGGCGCAGGCGACTGGGGCGAGGGCAGTCAGGGAGGGAGGTGGAGGCGGTGACTGAAGTAGACATGGATTCGAGTTTGGCAACCAAGAAAGGTTTCAACAGACAATAGACAATAAAATAGTGCCCAGAGATTCAAGAGGGCACGTCACAGGTGGGATCTGCAACTGGGCTGATGCTCTTCAATGGGGGTTTACCAAGACATCATATGATTAGGGTAAAGGGAGGTGATCTTGAAAAAAGCGAAGCAACCCTTGGAATGTCAAAAAAGCGAGATAAACAAAGAAGTGAAAGAAGACCAAGCAAAATAGGAAGAAGATAAAAAGGAGAGTAGGGGAGTAGGGAATGTTAGCCCTTTTTGATTGTATATACTCTGTTTCTCTGTTTCTCTCTTTCTCTCTTTCTCCTGGTCTGCCCATTTGCCCATTTGCCATCGGTTATTAATGCCCAGTCAGCATTTCTTGGCAGAGATGCTATTTCCCCGCATAGCCCTCGCACTAGTGTATATCAGTACTTCCGTACTCCGTAGTGTAATATCAGTCGAATATATCATTTGGAGAGAATACGATTTCTATCTAAATAAAGCATAAAATACAGAATAGTAACAATAGTGTATAATAAATATGGAAAATATGGAAAATCTGAAAAGAACGGTACTATATAATATAAAACTGACTCTGTATGCATACTGTGGACTGACAGCCCTAGCCTTGACATCCCGTCCTTACTTCATGTACAACATAAAAAGAAGCAGCATATATACATATAGTCAAGTGGTCCATGCTTTCATACCATGTGTACTCCATACTCCATACTTATTAGATCTATATGATCTATATTAAAGGATTCAAAAGAAAGCAAGACATAATTTAACAAGTTTCATCTAAAAGGAACTAGTTGAAACCTTCGGAAGACACTATCCATAATCTATATAGCCCTGGAGTATCGGAGTAGCATTCCATGTGATACACTTTGAAAATGTCGATCTCCCAAATTCAACACTAACGTGCCCGCATCCATATGTGACTCTATCTGGTGATCATCTGCGTCACTTGGAAAATCACAAGAGCAAAAACGATGCCTTGATTGGTTGTATAGTGTCGCACGGACCCTCGGGAGGCTGGAAAGTGCACTTCAGACGGCCCGAGTAGGGAAAAGGCGTTGAACCCGATTTGAGAATAGTGAAATAGTGAGATAGGAAGTATTTTCACCTCTATAGAGTTAAAAAAAAGTAGTGTATAGATATATGCTGTGCAACGTACTATTGTTAACGACTGTACTTTGTAGATGCAGTTGATCTCCTTTTCCGGATTGGTCAGCCCAGAGCTCTCCCCGGGATGATGTATGCGTTGGAGCTGTTAAAATATGGAGAATGGTTTTTTTAAAAGCCCTCATTTGGAGAGAGTAAAGATGATACAAGAAAAAGAAAAGAATTAGATTGAAATACTCAATTCAATTACAGATGTATGTACACACACTTAGGTAGAAAGCCATTTAATCTCAAGATTTCTGCCTGAGGAGACTAGTTCGATCTCTCTCTCCCCCCCTCCCTTAATGAAACGCTTGGAACTTCCTTCCTTCAAGCATCAGGAGGCTTCCCTCCAAAAGTGACTTTTTTTTTTATTATCACGCGCCAGCTGTCTCTTTGTGTTTCCCTTCAAAGCTTCAAGTTTATTCGACTCCCTTAATCCCACCTTCCCCGACCGCTCATCTTTCGCCTGCGCCTCTATCTCCGACCTCACTACAAGACCGCGCCCGATGCGGGCCTGCTAGCCAGCATGAGTGGAATTGTGACTGTTTGTCTGTCTTGCTTTTCAGCAGTGGACCGATGGTGTCATATTACAGCATGTCTTGGTCCTATCGGAGCTCGTTCTCGAGATGGTATCTACGAAACCACCCTGGCCGATAATGAGCGAGAAGCGGTATCAGATCTTCTAGGCTACTTGGAAAACGTACGTGCTAGACAATTCATCATTCTACATCGCTACCTTTCCCTTCCTCGAATCAGAATCGGGGGCTTGGTTCACCTGGGTACCGCTATTCCCCGAGCATACCGCTAACTTTCGATGTACAGCGCGCAGAGACCGACTTCTTCCACGGCGAGCCACTACGAGCCTTAAGTACCCTAGTTTACTCCGAAAACGTGGACCTGCAAAGAAGCGCTAGCTTGACCTTTGCTGAGATCACGGAGCGAGGTGCGTATCGCCGCCTGGATGGCAATGATGCAATAGCTGACCTTTCGTTTTATCTGCAGATGTGCGCGAGGTCGATCGCGATACCCTTGAACCTATCCTCTTCCTACTTCAAAGCTCAGATATTGAAGTCCAGCGAGCTGCTAGTGCAGCGCTGGGTAATCTTGCCGTAAATGGTTGGTTCCCATCCCGGTCACCCATCTGCCTTCCTACTTCCCATTCCCACACGGTCGCTAACTCGCTCCAGCTGAGAACAAGGTCTTGATCGTCACCCTCGGGGGACTATCTCCCCTGATTCGCCAGATGATGTCACCTAATGTCGAGGTCCAATGTAATGCGGTCGGATGTATAACCAATCTTGCGACGCATGAAGAGAACAAAGCCAAGATTGCTCGCTCTGGCGCTCTAGGTCCTCTTATTCGCCTGGCCAAGTCGAAGGATATGCGTGTCCAGCGAAATGCGACGGGCGCACTGCTCAATATGACCCATTCGGGTAAGCGATCTCAATTGATTCATCTGGAAGGGAAAAAACCCGTTTCTAACATAAATAATAGATGACAACCGACAACAACTTGTCAATGCCGGCGCCATTCCCGTGCTCGTGCACCTCCTTTCATCCCCCGACGTCGATGTTCAGTACTACTGCACAACAGCTCTTAGCAATATCGCCGTCGACTCGACCAATCGCAAGCGACTCGCCCAAACCGAGTCGCGCCTTGTGCAATCATTGGTTCATCTTATGGATTCATCCACCCCCAAGGTCCAATGCCAAGCCGCGCTCGCCCTGCGCAACCTCGCCTCTGATGAGAAATACCAGCTTGAAATCGTTCGTGCAAAGGGTCTTTCTCCACTTCTACGACTGCTACAATCCTCCTACCTTCCTCTCATCTTATCCGCCGTCGCTTGTATCCGCAACATTTCTATTCATCCTCTTAATGAGTCCCCTATTATCGAAGCAGGCTTCTTGAAGCCATTGGTGGATCTCCTAGGCTCGACTGACAATGAAGAGATCCAATGTCACGCTATATCCACGCTTCGCAACCTTGCAGCTAGCTCCGATCGCAATAAAGAACTTGTTTTGCAGGCTGGAGCAGTACAGAAGTGCAAGGACTTGGTCCTCCGTGTTCCCCTCACAGTCCAATCCGAGATGACCGCTGCAATCGCTGTGCTGGCCCTCAGCGAAGAGCTGAAGCCGCACCTTCTCAACCTAGGAGTCTTCGACGTCTTGATTCCTTTGACAAACTCCGAAAGCATTGAGGTGCAAGGCAACAGCGCGGCTGCTTTGGGCAATCTGTCCTCGAAAGGTATGTTACCTTCCCCTTGATGCTCCTTGTCTTTCTGTGTTCTGTCATCATCTGCTAACAAAAACTGTAGTCGGCGATTATTCGATGTTTGTTCGCGACTGGGCTGACGCCAATGGTGGCATCCATGGTTACCTTCATCGCTTCCTTGCCAGTGGAGACCCGACATTCCAGCACATTGCCATCTGGACCCTCCTCCAACTGCTAGAGTCCGAAGACAAGAAGCTCATTGGATATATTTCACGATCTGAAGATATCGTGCACTTGGTCAAGATTATCTCCGACAAGAACATCGAGTCGGACGAAGAAGATGTGGATGATGGTGAGGGTGAAGTCATTACGCTTGCCCGTCGCTGCCTTGAGCTGGTTGGAGCTGGTCCTAAGCAGACCCTGGTGGAAGCTTGAACCCTCTGTTTCGTCTGATTATCCCACTGTTCTATTTTTCGGTTCTGTGTCATGTCAGCCTTTCTGTGTGACTCTCTTTCTTTCCCCGCCAAGGGGTATTGTATGGACATTAAATCCACTTATTCACTTTCGTCAGCGGGCATTTGGAGTGATACGGACTTTTCTTTTTTATCTCTTCTGTTGTTGTTACATGTCTATGGTATTTCTGGGCCGGTGCCGCTGTCTCTGTTGTTCCGACGCATACACTGTTTATTCATGCTAGATATGGGCTCTATAATTACTTGCCTGGAAACATATGGACTTTTCCATGGACAAATTGTAATCGAATTATGTAGTTCGAACTGTTTGAAGTCGTACATCTGTCGAGTACTAAGTAAGTAGTGTGGGTACAAGCTGTGGTCGGAATAACTTAAACCCGAGCCGTATAATAGCTCCCTAAAAAAAGCTACAGAAAACTCGCTGCTTTTGCAAACTCCGGAACACTTCCACCTCAAAATTGGCCCAACCCCAATTTTCCAACATGGCTTCTTTACCACCTATCGCTATTCCTGGGCAACGCCTTGGTCCTTTATCTACATATTCTGCAGGCCCCGGTACACATGTTCAGCAATCCTTCATCTACGCTTCCATCGCCGGTCCCGTGGTTGCAGACTCTGCACACCCGAAGTCACAAACAAGACCTACCCTCAGAGTGTCACGAGTGATATCTCCCAAAGACCAAGCGGGCTCAAGCCCAGCTGTTCCCGCCGCGTTGTCAACGATGCCGAAGCCCCGCTACAACACCCTCCCCGCCGTAGACTCCATCGTTCTCGCACGAGTGACCCGCGTGCAGAAGCGGCAAGCCACAGTTTCCATCCTCGTCGTACTAGACGAATCAGCATCACAATCTCAAGACCAATCACGAACAGCCTCAGACAATGACAATGTTGCCTCCATCCTCACATCTGCCGCCAACCCAGAGAACCACAGCAGCACCGACGAATTGCGCTTCCAGGCACTTATCCGAAAGGAAGATGTACGGGCTGTTGAGAAAGACCGTGTGGTCATGGATGAGATGTTCCGTGTCGGCGATATCGTTCGCGGCTCTGTTATCTCGCTTGGCGATCAGAGCTTTTACTACATCACTACCGCGCGCAATGATCTTGGTGTTGTCATGGCTCGCAGTGAAGCTGGCAACATGATGTTCCCTGTCAGCTGGAAGGAAATGAGAGATCCTGTCACTGGAACTAGTGAGCAGAGGAAGGTCGCCAGACCGTTCTGAGAACATGAAATTGTTCGAACTCGGTCCCCCTCCTTGGGTGGCTTTTGGCATTTCTCTTTGAATGACCAATGGCTTACCTCTACTGTTAAAGGGCCACATAGTGGCTCAACAAGCAACAACCAAGCAGACTCTGCCCCCACCCACCCATATGTCCGTGGCGGATCTGCCCACCCTCTGAGAGCATTGTCTTTCTACCTCCGGGATACATGGGTGTCGACAAAACCTCACTTCCTATCCTCACTGCGAGGAATGCCTTTCAAGTCTCCACACTTGTTCCATGCTCTCAAGCAGCAGTATCCCGCTTGATCATGACGACTTTCATGTTTCACGAAGCTGGGAAACGCCCCCGTTTGACTCAATTCAACCACACCAATATGTACTCCTGGACATGTGTATTATTGACATGGATAACGATTTCAGAATAAAGATACCCAACGGAGACATGATTGAAAAATCGATGTCATTTCCGTCCTTCCTTTTCCTTCGATCCTCGGCTGCAGCCTGCCATCCTGTGGTCGTTTTTCCCCTCGCTCGTCTTTCCAAGTAGAGAGGCGTCACCGCCGCTACTCGTAGACCCTACTGGGTAACCCTCCTTAGTATACACGGTCGAGACCTATGCCATGTCGGACTGTGTTTGTCAAGTGAGGGAGATTGAAGTTTTTCTTTTGAAGAACACGCGGAGGACTCTCATCTTCTGTGAACCTCCAATTATTCATCTGTCGAGTTCAAGTCTACTCAGTGCGACTCGACAGATGTTTTTGGAGTAACATCCCCAATCCATCTATCATTCAAATTAATACTACAAAAAAGAACTCCCAAATGAAATGCAAATAAATCTCCCATTTTGGTATCTACCAGAGTAAATAGTACACCGACCTTACTTCTTCAACGTCTTCTGCTTCTCCGCATCAATCAACTTACGTCCCTGAACAACCAAACCCTTGCGACTGCGTACAGCATCCATATACCGCTTAGCAACATTCTGCTTATCCGCAAGCTCACCCAGATCCTCAAGTTCTTCCTCCGTAGCAGGCACCCAGAATGGATCCTCGTCGAGAGCCTCGAAGCCCGCGAAGATCAGCTGCGGTTGCGCGGCGCCGGACGTCCGCTTGCGGATCTCCTCAGCGAACCCGAATGACTCGGCTACGGGGAGGAGAGCAAGAATAGTGAAGAATGGCGTGCCTTCTTTCATTATTTCGGAGAGAATGCGACCTCGGCGGCGGGTGATTACTGCGTAGACGCGGCCTAGAACTTCGGCTTTGGGGGTGAAGATGGTGTGTTAGTTGTGGTTCTACTTTTCTGCGTATGGTGTATGGGATGGCGTGAAGGTAATATGAATGGGAAGGAAAAGGAACGGAAGGGAATGCTTACTGGTAGCTTGGATCTCGCAACTGTACATTGCGAGCATGATACGAGGACTCCAGTCCAGGAAACCAGCCGAGATACCTTCACGGACCAGTCTGATCGACTCGCCTGTCAAACGGCCCATGTCAAGCTCGTCGCCTGCGCTGGACTGCACAGATAGGTCTTCCAAGAAGACGGCCACGCCTTGCATAGGCTCCTGGCACAAGGGGCCTTGACCCGTTGCGAGCTGGAAGGCATATGCGATCTTGTCGTTGAAGTCACGCACGAGTAGTGCTTGGTGATTGTCACCGTCGATATGTTGCTTGGTGTCATCGACCAAGCTAGAAAGGAGATGTTAGATTCGTACGGCATGCACAGTGCTTTTTGGACCTCAATACTCACAATTTCTCGCATGTGTTGACTGCAGTTGCATCAACCAGAATGTTGGGACCGACTCTTCGGGGCCCAAAAGCGGTGATTCGGTTGACGACATTCTTCCATAGTTCCTTGTCTTCCTTCACTTCCTCGTTGAACAACTTATCTAGTCCTTCGCGGAACTCCTGCTTGGAGAGGATTTGGCCTTCAGGCGCCTCGCCAGTACCGTCAACGACAGCTTCAGCTGCGTTGTCAGTCTCTGTCTTGCCTTCAGTCTCTGAGCGCTTCTCCAATTGGAGCTGTTTGATAGTTCCGACTTGTTTAGTCAGGAATTCCGTCACGGCCTCTGGCATCGGAACCACGCGCAGACGAAGGGTCATTTGCTTGGAAGCGGAAACCGTCAAAACGGCTCCACGTCCTAGCTCAGGATTCTTGGGGGCGGCCATCTCGGGGCCGTGAACAATAGTTTCACGATAGGGGACGATAGCCTCGCCGGTCTGGATTTCGCAACGTGCGAAACGATCCCGCAGATCCGTTACACAGCGCTCCAAGTGCAGTTCACCTGCTGTGAGGATAACATGTTCACCGCTAGGGAGCACTTCGTACTGCGCACAAGGATCACTCTGTTCGAGCAAGCGCAAACCGGTGACCAGCTTGCTCAGGTCTGCTGGGTTGACTGGTTCCAGCGCGACTCGGACGATGGGCGGCATGCTCAGTGAAACACCAGCCAAGTTGATGCTTCCGTCGAGTCGGCTGCAGAGGGTACCTGTCTTCAAGACGTGGCCTGCAAGACCTCCAATTCCGAATACCACACCGGCTGGTACGGACTTGAGGGGCTCGAGAGCTCTTCCCATCATCAGGTAGAGATCTGTGACTTTGACTTTCTTTGGCTCCGGGCTGGCGTGCGGGTGGGCTGGAGAGAACTTGGGAGGGAGGACATAGATCTCATCTCCAACCGAAAGGGTTCCGGAATAGAGTCTAGCGAAACCAATAAGGTGGTCAGGGTCATCCTTCTCCACTGGCTCTTCTGGTTCCTCGGTCGTCTCGGTGATCAATGAGGTTGTTTCGAAAACTGATGTCATGCGCTCAAAGTCATCCTCCTGTCCATTACTGCGGGCCTCAGCCTGCATCTTTGCAATCTCCTCCCGCTTCCGGCGCGCACCCTCAAGAGCTTCTGCGGCAGTCATGGCACCTTCACTACGCCTCTTGTTGGAGAGGAGCTCACTCTCCGGGATGGCAACCATCTTGCTGACGTATGCCACGACGGGTTGTTCGGGACCTGTCTTGAAATCCACCATGGCAGTCTTGATATCATCGGCAATGAAAGCAGCGCCGGGGGATGTCTTGATCATTTCCGGTAGTCGGGCGGCTTGCGCAGCGGGGGGACTGGGAAGATATTCAATGACGGAAACCAGCAGAGCAGTAGATAGTGGCAGCCATTGAGAGAACAGTGTATTCATAATGTTCCTAGGGTCGCGTCCGCGCAAGATATATACCGGGATGTTGATGTTGAGCGATTTGGTGATCTTCTCCAGCAACACTGGGTCACTAGTAAAGGTCAATATCGGCGTTGGCATGATATTTAGTGTCATTGTCGACTTACCCTTTGCCCTTGTCACCACCTGTGGTGGCTTGATAAGCCGCCCAAATGCTATCCAATACCAATTGAACGAACATAGGCTTCAAAGCACGTCCCTTCAGATGCTTCACACCCAAGACGCGCTTAGTTTTAGGGTCTAGATAATAATCACCCCAGAGCACTTTCTCCAGAACTGTTCGTTTGATTCCGAGTTTTTTCTCGTAAATAGCGGCAAATTGCCGGATTGTGAAAGCCCAGCCATCAACAGCACTGCAGAAGATGACGTTATTTTTCTCAGGTGCAAAGTAAAGATCCTCGTCGTCGCGCTCCTCAAATTCAGTTCCTTCAGTGATGCTTTGCGCAGATTCATCGTCTGCTGACGACTTTTTGTTGTCTTTTTCCCGAGCAGCTGCAGCGTTAAGACGGTCTTCCATACGTTCACGCCACTGCAAATCTTCTTCCATGCGTTCACCCTGGTAGAAACTACCGATGACAGCATTGACCTGTTCTAACAGTCGACTAAGATGCGAGAAAGCCTCGGCAGGGCTCATCTTCAGCTCTGTTACCAAGCGGTCCATCTTGTTAATAACGAGGATCGGCTTCAACTGCTCGACCCAAGTCTGTCGCAGGACTGTCACAGTTTGACTACAGACACCTTCGACTGCATCGACGAGCACAACTGCACCGTCACAAAGACGAGATGCGGTGGAAACCTCGCTACTGAAATCGATATGACCAGGCGAATCGATTAGGTTGATCAGATACTCCTTGGGCACTGGCTCTGCGTCCGGGCTTGGACGGCGGAGCATGGAGAAGAACAGTGAGATAGCCGAGGACTCCATGGTAATACCTCGAAGCTGCTCATCTGGACGAGAGTCCAGGTAGCGGATCTTACCGGCCAGCTTGGGTGAAATGATGCCATTTGTGGCAATAAGACTATCTGTCAAAGATGTCTTGCCATGATCCTAAAAATGCGAAAGAAAAGGCGATGAGCATTTCAAACCCATTGGGAGCAAAATTCAGTATGAATTTCTTTGACTTACAACGTGGGCCAAAATGCAGATCTGGTGGCTTGAGATTAGTATAAAGCCCTGACATCAGAGATCAGAGTGGGATGGAGGGGCACACGCACATTTCTTATGTCCTCGGGCTGCCGCTGTAGGCGGACCAACTGGTCGACATTAACAACAGGCATCTTGGCTGATACTGAGACCAAGAGCAGGTTTGTAAAAGGAAAAGCGACTGGATCCCGCAAGAGAAAAAAAAAAGTTGCAAAAAAAGTTGCTGATAAAGATGCGCCCTTGGCCCAGACCTTCAACAGCACTTCAATTATTATTTCACTCGGACTATTGAGCTGGGTAGATTTATATCTTCTACACTGAATACTGACATTACTACCTATGTATTCTTCTATATGACGACACTGACCTTGACAGTCTCTTGTGAATGGATCCCTGTTCTATTGACTCATTATGAGTCCTCAACGCTTTGCACTGAGTCAAAGGTCCACGACCTAGGACCTGCCGCAAAAAAATGCTATACTTCTCGGTATTCTTGCTAGGTTCTCATTCCTCGTCGAACGAGAGCTTGATCTTCTTGGGCTTCTTGGATTTCTTCAAAGCTGCCTTAGGCTGGGCTTCTTCGGGTTCGGCCTTGTCCTCACCCACCACTTTGGCCTGTTTTCGTTTCCTCTGGCCTCCAACTTCAGTGAGGTTGTTCTGTTTGCTGGTGGATAGTTCTGTTTGGGATTTGTCTTGATCGCCGGTGGAGTTGTCCTTCGCTGAGTCTCTGGCCTCACCCTCTTCTTTCGGGCCGCTTTCACCAACCAATGCCTTGTATTCCTCCTTGGAAATCACTTCGTTACTCTCTTCGTCGAGGTAGGTAGGTTCGTCATCGTCGTCGTCATTATTGACCTTGAGTCTGGTCGGTCGTAAGGCAGGTCGCTCCAACCGACCGGTGTTGTCTCCATACTGGCCCCGGAGTTTCTGGAGAAAAGCAGGCTGCTTTGCATCTATATAACAGATCAGAATGGCATAAGACAAGTTAGAAAGGTGTGAAGCAACATACCATATTCAAACTTTGGGTTCTTAGGCATGGTGGGAATGCTGTATTTGCTTGCTAGTTTTCAAGTGAAGCTTTGTACTTGTACTGCCCTGTGCCTATTGTAGATCATTGAGAGAAACTCATATTGTTCAATTAAAATAGACATACAGAGGCTCTCTATGTGCAGAAGCAAGAATTGGAGAATTGCGAGAGTCGATAGCTGCTGGCCACTACAGCGGGGTATTGCGACCATGCAGGTTCAGAATATGATTGGCTGGTAAACCTCGCCGCCCTTTTCTCCGCCTTCTCCAGCCTCATATATTACGGCGGAAAGCGCCTTATATTTTCTGCCGGACAATATTCACCGGACTTACGTCACTGCTGGTCGCAATACTCCGCCCTATTACACCGCCCTCAGCCAACGGCGCTAAACCGCAATAGGACACATCGAAAAGTCCAAGGAGCCGCTCCGCGTCAAGTCCTCCTCATCAACCCTCATCAACCAATCTCAATTAACTATGCTTTGTGCTAGTGAGTGCCTTACAGTTAATCGCAATTTTGTGCTCTTCTTTGAAATGAGTTTTCTAACCAAACTTTTCTCACAGTCTCCGGAGAAGCACCTCAAGTGCCCGTCGTCTCTACCAAGAGCGGTAAGTCCTCAAAATCACATTGCGCGCACGACATTAATCTCATAATGAAATAGGCAGTGTGTTTGAAAAGCGCCTTATTGAGGCATACATTGCCGAGCATGGCAAAGATCCCGTGAACGGCGAGGAGCTCACCACCGAGGATCTGATCGATCTCAAGTCGCAACGCGTTGTCCGACCCCGACCCCCTACCCTCACATCCATCCCGTCTCTTCTCGGCGTTTTCCAAGAAGAATGGGATGCTTTGGCTCTGGAAACCTTCACTTTGCAGCAAAATCTGGCACAGACAAGACGTGAGCTAAGTTCAGCGCTCTATCAGCACGATGCTGCGGTGCGGGTGATCGCACGCCTGACGCAGGAGAGGGATGAGGCCCGCGAGGCACTTTCAAATGTTTCCATTGGTGCCACTCGCGCTGGAGGCGATGCTATGCAGGTGGACTCCACAGGCTTGCCCCAGGCAGTGTCGGAGCGGATTGAGAACACACAGGCAGCGTATGTGGAATTGGTGCTTCTATATTGCATTTTTAGATCGACGGCTAACTATTGGACAGGCTACAAAAGACCCGGCGCAAGCGCACAGTCCCTGAGGGCTGGGCCTCCAGTGAGACTATTTCTACATTTAAACCAACTGAGACCTCCGAACCTCTCTACCCCGGTGGCCGCGCTTTGTCCATCAACTCGACTGGTGATCTGGCCCTTGTTGGCGGTGTTGACGGCGTGGTTGGTGTATACTCGCTCTCCCAGAAGAGTGTGGTGCAGACCCTCAAGACAGATGGCCCAGTCACCGATGCGACATGGGCAGGAAACAAGGCTGTCGTTGGCTCCTCTACGGGCTCCGTCAAGGTCTTTGAGAACGGCGCCGAAGTTGCAAGCTTCACCTCCCACGCTGGCGAGGTGACAGCCGTCACAGTTCACGCTACTGGTGATATTGTTGCTTCTGTTGGTGTCGATAAGAGTTATGTGCTTTATGATCTCACTACAAACACTGTGGTTTCCCAGATTTTCTGCGATGCAGGTAAGAAATCACCCTATGGAACACATATCCAAGCACGATACTAACCACTTTTATTCCAGCTCTATTGTCTGTCAACTTCCACCCCGATGGTCACTTGATCGCGGCCGGTGGCGCAGATGGGCAAGTCAAGATCTTCGATGTCAAGACGGGTGCCGCTGCTGCGGACTATGCGATGTCGGGCCCAGTCAAATGCCTGTTCTTCTCTGAGAACGGTACTTACCTCGCTGCGGTGGCTGCGCAGTCCACCACTGTGTCGATCTGGGATCTTCGCAGCTCCAAGGAAACCAAGGTACTGGACACAGGAAGCCAGGTTGACTCGATCTTCTGGGACTACACTGGCCAATTCCTTTTGACTGGTGGACCCAGCGGGGTGACTGTCCAGCAATACTCCAAAGCATCCAAGGCGTGGTCAGAGCCTCTGCGGAGTGCAGTCCCTGCTACCTCGGTTGCTTGGGGGTCAGCTGCTCAGAGTATTGTGACATTGAATGAGGCGGGTGTGGTCACAGTGCTGGCGGCACAGTCATGATCACCAGGAAAATACTGTAATACTAGAGCATGCTATCTTCTGGATTTTCAATGGTGTTTGTTTTGAAACTGCAGCTCTTAATGCGACAATATTCACAGACAGTGGATCCATGGATATTCCGAGGTTCACAGGTATACTTAAAATGAATGAAAGGCCTCATCGTGAATTCATATGTTTGTGTACTCAAATATTGCTATGACACTTGTGGAACACTTATAATGGAGAACGATAAATCTCTACAGGAAACGATATAAATATCTGCCAGAGCCACTTGATCTTATCAATTTTGGAATTTTAGAATGCGCTCAACACCACCCGTGGACTGAGGCAAACCTTACTAATGAGCCCATACCGCCTTATAACATTGGCAGAGCCCGACCGCCTTGCGACTTGGTCTGGAAACAAAGATGGGTTCCAACCCTACCATTTCACCTATCTGGTGGCCTCCAATTCCCCCTTTGTCTGCGAAATACCATTCTTTGACTCCAGGAATAGGTCCTGAAATGAGTGAAAACTCTGGCGTCCAGTTTATGGGCGCCAGAACCAAGGTAAGCCTTCTTCCGTCGTGAAACGGGCGGGGCACCTGATCAGACCACCAAGAACCCAGCTAACAAGATTCTTATTTATCTCAGCGAACACATCGTCAAATGGCTAGTGAAAACGATGGAAGCGGCGATGCTGCTTGGGAGCAGCACTTCCACCCCCGTCGCTCCGACCACGCTCGATCTGAATCTACCCGCTTGCCACCCAGAAGACATCGAGATGGGCTCGACTACCGACGGCCAGCGATGCTTTCGCCTGGAGATAACGTCGTGATCGACTTGACAGATGATCCAGACTCTCCTCCTCCAGGAAATGTGAGGACATTTCCCGGTCCTCTACATACCCCACACCCGCACCGTCCGAGGTTACGATTCCCACGAGATTTGATGAACCACACGACCCCGGTGGCTGATCACCCTACTGTAATTGATCTGGAAGCGGAGACAACGGGTGATTCGGTAGATCTTTCGCTGGACAACGGAGATGTTCAGATTGTTGGCTCTTCTTCCGTCAGGCCGAGACCAATAGAACCAAGATACCTCGACAACAATGGTATTCCAATGCACTTCCGCCCTCTCATACAGCCGTCGAGTGTATTGGAATCTGGGCGACCGAGAAGAGGGATGCCCGCAAGGTCATACTTTCGTTCCGAGGAGGACCTTCTTTCGTTCATGTCTGACACGCTTCACTACGGAGTATCCCGCTTTGACTATAGCCCGCATGCCGGGCCAGCCCCACAACCTCGTCGATCATCATATAAAGGATTAAGCCCGGCGCCGGAAGGATTCACTCGAATTTTGGCAGAAGATGACGTGCCTCTCTGCCCAAACTGTGAGGACGAGTTGGGAACCGGAGAAGGGCTGAAACAACAGATTCATATTGCAAAGCCGTGTGGCCATGTGAGTTATTTTTTTTATCTTAAGCTAATGAAGTCCATTACAAAAGCTAACGATTTTGTCAGGTCTATTGTGGCGAGTGCGCTGGGAATCGGTCCATCTCAAAGTCCAAAAAGAAAGCTTCCAAGACCAAGCCGTTCTCAAAGTGCCGGGTTCCAGGTTGTAATAAACCTGTAAGTAGCCCGACAGCCATGTACCACCTTTATCTGTGATATACCCTGGACATTGATTTTGCGGGCACTCATTTGCATTCTGGTGTTATGGCCATCTTCTTTCCTCATTCCGTCGATACCCAAGATGCATTGAACTGGCAGGCGTTTTTTTTTTTTAATAATGATCTATATCCAATAATGATTTACTCAGTCTCTCTTAACCTTCGTTATGACTTGGAGTTTCGTAGCTTCTCAATCATCTTATGCAGAATATTATGAACTCCATCGTTCAATGGTACCTGAAATGTATCCACCTCTACAATGGGGCTTTACAATATCATATTTTCCATTTTAGCTGCCGCCACTTCTATGAGGGCACTCAAAGCCAAGTCCAGGCTCAGTGATATCACGTGATTGATCCGTGACCTAAATCTTTGTGGCAGAGTTCCTGGATTAAGTCCACTTAACCGCTTCTAAACTAAGACCGAGGCCAAAGCGATGTCATTTGGTGATACCGAATAGCTGCAATATCCCTCCCCGAGCTTTACCATTAGCAAAGTAAACGACTACATAAAAGCTATATAAGAAGGTTGTTGACAGAACTCAAGGTGTACAGCAAGGTATGGTCAATGAATATGCATAACTCTAACTGAAATGACAAAATCCGCGATTTCCGACAATCTATGCGGACATAAATTCCTAAGCTCAATATGCGCTATTTTATTGTAACCCCTGCTGTAGCGGTCCATATATTTTTTGAGGGTTTCAATACTCGGTATAATTACATATATTGTATACAGATAGGCTAGCCATCACATCCCATGCTCAGAATACCTGATATTGAAAGTTTATGTGAAGTGGATATCTTTCTACTTTGTCTCATGTGAATATTATATGTACAGTAGTTTGTGGGTCTACACGAATACATATTCGTGACATTTTGAGATATTTGCATTCGCATTCGCAATCGTAGCACACAGACCTCTACATATATTCGTATACACAGGCCGATCTCTGTACAAATATTCTTGAAAAACTTGGATCAGGCTAATTTATAACAGCTAGACACGCAGCGTGGATGTGGGCACTGCGATTGATGTCGAGACAGTCGCCGTGGTGACACCACAAGCCAGGCTATAAGAAGACACGGTTGTTCAGAGTATTGATAACGGATACACTTGATTGCTCAAAGCAATCTGTATAGGTATTTCCTCCACTTTAATTCATCCAAGTTTATGAGTTGTTCATACAAGATGACAGAGAAGAATAATCTGAACCTACCCATTTTGGAACAAAAGCTCGCTATCATCATTTCGAAGACAATCAGTCTACTTCAAATAAGGCGTTTTATAATTATGAATGGCAATTCAAAAGCTACACGCAGCCAGGATTGACAGAGTTGGTACTGCTGCTGCACTAGGCTCCCCAGTACTACAACGTAAACGTTCATTCAACTCCTTAAGATAACGGGTTATTACTAAAAGTTGATAGGTAGTTTTTCTATAGACTATTTTTGTTGCGATCTCGTGTTCTAGATTGCCATATTTACCATGATGGTTTGCAGGGGGTGACCACTTGGCTGTGAAATACTCCAGGGCTGAGGAACCTGCTTATCTGTGCCCAATCTGATCGAAAGTAGACCCTTTGGCGCTATGCACATTCGCAATGCCCCTCCTGAAACACTCTATCTATCACCCGCTCCAGATCCATGGTTCCTTTCTTATGCCAAGTGTCATGCAAGTAATCCCCTAGCTCCAATAGCAGTTCGTCTCTTGGCGCCAGCCAAGCTTTAGCCTCAACCTATCAACAAGACAAGGTGACCGTCAATAGCGTGGTAAGATATAAATCTGCGGCTGATAAACATGACATTTCAATTGAATGTGTATTTCGTGTGCACCAAAATAATCGCCCTATCCAACGCATTAGGTTTCTTGGAGCGCTCACCTGGGCAGCTGGGCAGGTGTTGAGCCTCATTGTAGGAAGATAATTTCTAGACTCTTTCGTAGGCTGCGCTCGTATTGAGATCATATTATTTGATATTTTCTACTGCACCATGCAGTCATGTTTGGTGTTGCGCCTCAGCGCAGATGGCAGGAGATAATTACTGGACTCTCTCGCGATTTGCGCTGGCATTGAGGCTCTATCCTTGCTATGTTCCCTGCACACCATGCGGTCTTGTTTCATGATTCTTTGGCAAGGCCCAGCACATCTGCTATGGCTTCGCTTTCTCGGCGATATTGATTATTTCTCAATTTTCCTAGAATTCTCTAGATGTGGAGTAAATATAGACAGCGCTACGTGTCGCCTCGGATTACGAGTCGTCTTGTTCAGCTAAATTTAACATGGTGGTGTGAAGGAATATCCTAAGGGTTCAATATAAAGATGCACTACTACTATGGCTCTCATCGCAATCATTCTTCCGTCTTTCATTAAACACCGTGTAGGGCGATATACATTACCACACAACCTTCGAATAGACATACTCTTATTTCTTTTTGCATTTCGATCATTAAGACCAGAACTCCCTCACTTTCTCTCAACGTATGTTATTCCAGCGCTTGGTTTCTAAGATCATTGTTCTAACGTGAGCTTTGGATGTAGGATATATATCATGTGGTCCATTTCCACCAACTGCACGTTACCACCGAATGGTGCGACTTTCGTCCAATCACCCAATGTTCGAGGCACTTTGGATATTGTCTGGAGTTGCGTATCTCTTCTACTGATCTGCACCTGGTCAATTCTCCATTTGAATGTCCCCATTCAATCCACTCCTCGCAACAAAAAACAAAGCTATAACCGCACCACTCGGAGACTCGCACGAAAGTTTGGATGGATGGCTATGAATGTCATGTCACCTGAGTGGGCTATGGGAAAGGCCTGGAGTGACTATCGCACAGTGTCCGATAACATGGCCACCTTCAAATGCATAGCAGAGCAAGACGATGTGCCTTGGTCACAAGCCCATACCCACTTAGCAAACATGGGCGGATTCGTTTTGAAATTTAGCGAAACAACTCCTCTGGTCCCTCATCACCGGGTGTGGAAATTTGCCGGTACCGGAATACCTCCAACGAATGTTCTGAATCCACGTTCAAAAATCAGTCAAGCAGCCACAGAACTAACAGTGAATTCCGCAAACCCGCACCGAAACTCCTTGCCAGCCCGAATTATCAAGAAGCTGAACTCCCCCAAGGGACCGGACTACCTGCGGGCAACTAGTATGACAGCCATGTCACGCAAAATAGGTACGATCGACTGGCATAAAGAAAAGTTGAATTCAGTCGCCGTGGATAAAGCCATAGAGACTGTCACTTTGGATGACTTCCAGGGGTCATATGAGAAAAAGTCTTTTCTCTCCCAATATGATGAATGGTTCTGCAATCTTAGAACTTTTCGAGGAAACATCTGGGTGCTAGATTCCAATCAAGTACTCCTGGCACGGCAGCTTGGCATCATCAAGAGGCTGCCGAATGTCTCAGAAGATGAGATATCGGACAGAAATAAAGGTGACCTGTTCGTCAAGATTATTGCCTTATGCCAGATTCTATGGTTCTCTTTCCAGTTTGGGGTTCGGGTTCGCCTAAATCTCTCCACCAGCCTACTTGAAGTTCTTACCCTTGCGTCCACGGTCTCAACCTTCTTCATTTATTTACTTTTGTTGAAAAAACCAAAGGACGTTGAATGCTCGATTGGAATTCTTGCCACACGTTACGCTAGCCCAAAAGAAATGATCCGACTTGCTTTGGTTGGGCCTAAGCCCTATAACTATAGGAGTTCGCCTTGGATCCCAAACAGCGCCCGTCATTGGTCCCGCAACACAACTGCGCATCCTTTGATGGGGGCTACATTTGGTGCTGTCGTCTTTGGGGGATTGCATTACGTGGCTTGGTATTGGCACTCCAGCTTTCCATCTGAATTTGATAAATGGGCATGGAACATAGCCTCCGCTGTTGCAATGGCTGCAGTTCCCACAGTCTATCTCGTCCAGGCGCTGATTACCTCGATCACAAGACTATGCTCATATAAAACCAATATCCTCTTGAGAAGCGGGTTCGAAAGAGGTGCGCGATATTCCTTTTCATATTTGATTTGGGCGGTTTTTTTTCTTTCTCGACTCTGTGTTCTTGTCCTGGCTTTCCGGTCTTTGGCCTTTTTGAACCCGGAAACTTTCCAGAAGACTTTGTCGGACAATATCCCCCATATGCATTAAGAATGATAGTGTAGCAATTTGACGCCTACTTACAGTTCACTATGTGATCGATCACATATGGTTGTAGACTACGGAGTAGATTTGGTCAAATACTGCACCATGACTGCAGAGCCCCTAAATACCATTAATTCTAGAAAGTGTAGTAGTTATTGACTTTTGGCATGGAAAAGGGGATTTTTTTGACCTCAGCCCATAGGTAGACTACAACATCGCCCACGGGCACAGCCCCAATACCACTAAGCAGAAACAGGGCCGTACATTACAACGAATACTACTCTCCCTTTTTTTTGTGCTCCCGAGAGGTTATTTACCCAAAATCACCAGGGCAGTCATAATCTCTACCAAGGATGGCCAGAGCTCATGGGAGTTTAATAGCCCGGTGGCAATTCGATCGATGTCGGTCCTCATTAAAGTGGTCGGACTAGCCTCTTGATCTCGATCTTAGGCTTGGCGTTGGGTCTTTGCATATATCATTGTAACTAATGACCCGCGAGTCATAGTGACCATTCGGATAGCTTGGCGCTTGTAGAGAGCAGTGCTTACCTGGAAGAAGCATTCGGAGTCCGGAGTTGGAATCCGGGACCCTTGCACGGAGTACAAAAGGCAACTAAAGTAACACTTGGATCTGAGATGCATTCCCACTTGAGTGCTGAAGCCTAACTTTCAGTGAGCTCCGGTACGAAGAGATTTTTGAAGAGAAATGATATCTCGGCGGTGTATACGGAGTACAACCCTTTCTTATAAGGGTTTTCCGAGGTGGCGTGTCAAGGTAGTGCTATTGTGCAGGGTGTATGAGGACTCGCAAAGCTACCAGTGACAGTAGTGCTTGAAGGGTATTTAAGTGGGATGTAGATAATTGGGCTTATAGCTATTAAACACAAGGAAGTATAGCAGACTAATACCAGATACTGATAGATCTCGGGGGTATAGATCAAAGGTTAAACGAGCGTACTTGACAAAATAAGTAAATGCCTACCTAGCCCGCTGTTTATCCCTAATGACAAATAGTACAAACATAGAAATGAATAGTAAATGAATGGCCCATTCTGACTGACACGGGGCTGTTTAACTCAAGAGAGCAAAAAGCGGCGAGGGCTAAGCACTCAAACAGACAACCAAGAAGTTATATAGGAATTTCAAGTCCGGAGTTACCTACATTGTAAACACATATAACTTATGTAGAGGCAAGCCCTATAAAATCTATAACTTATGTCTCTCAATCACGACACAAAGCCGTCGAGCGATACGCTTGAACATGAATTTAGGCGGTTAATCTTGAGTGCAGGTTGATCATTGCAGACTTGTTGTCTTCAAATTGATGTAAGCTCGAGTTTGGTATGCATAAAATATGGGTTTCAAAACACCATTGGCTTCCAGATAGCAAATAGACAAGAATGAAGAAATAAAACAGAACCCAGGTCAATAATACAGTAGGCTGCAGTGGGGATACCTGATAGTCACCACCGCAGAGAGAACAAGAACCGTAAAATAATAAAACACCTCCGTCTAGACACCCCGAAGATCACCGTGGTATGGTGACCAGATACCACGTACACTCTCATTCAAACTTGTAACCGGCTTCTTGACCCGCTTCAACTTCTCTCCACTAGCTTCCTTAAGAAGGTTTGCCTTCTTCAGGATCTCGTGGGGTTCTAAGTTCCGTACACATACGGGCTTCTCACGGCCATTGATGTAGAGGCCCTTAATCAGAGGGTGCTTCTGGGGTCGGGGGGAGACACGGATCTCAATCTGAGGGTTTTCGCGGGCGAAGGCGGGGAGGGTTTTCTCCAAGAAAGCACTGGGACGTTCAATGTCAGTACGGATGTTTCTGGAAAGTCAATTTGCATCATTGAGGATACACCTACACCATGCCCTTTGAGCTGCCTGCCCAGTTGCAGTAATGGAAGTCAAGGCGTTTGCATTGTAGGATGAAGGCACCGGCGCCGTTCTAAGCAGATCACCTTGGTCAGTTCGGCAATTGAATACGAATAAACTGGACTTCACATACCCTGGCCGCCGTAGATGTTCTAATTCCGCGCAACGGCATCGTTCTAGTCGTCAATAATTATCGTCGTAGTTTACAAGTCGCGATGGTTCTCCGGGGCATTTTCTGGTGCACGTGACTACCTTGGGCGGTGAGTCACGCGCACCAATGGGATGTGCAGCGACTTCCATCATTCGACGCTAAGACCAGAACTGCGACGCGAAGCTCTCACTCCTGAGGTTTCACTCAACCCCCACACATCATCTTTACTTCACGTCCCGACTTTTGTCTGTATTGGGCTCACTACTCAGTATGACAGATAAGCTACCCCCGCCACTTTTGGCGCTATTCCAGCCCCGCCCACCCCTTCGATATCTGCCTCCAAGCGATCGCGCACCAGACGACTGCCAAAAGAGCACTATCTCTGGAGTTGCCCAGTTTCTTGCCGACGCTAAAACTTTCACCGATGAAGTTCCCTACAATGCAACTGAAAGCTGGGTACAGCGCAAATTGCGCGAGAAAACTGAGAAGAAAGAGCAGTTAGAGAAGCAGATAGCGGAAGGACTGCAAAACTGTACGCTTTATCTCATTTTTACAATTGGTTTTGTATTTCAAGAGGCTAACCTAGCTATGTCTCACAGTCAATCCGGACAAAGATCCTCAAGCTCGAGGTGACCCATTCAGGACTCTCTTTGTTGGACGTCTCAATTATGAAGCTAAAGAAGCCGACCTGGAACGAGAGTTTGGCCGATTTGGCCCCATTGAAAGAGTATGTCTTGCTCCTATATATGCTTTGTGAAGATAACCAGCGCTAACATTATGGTGACAGATTACCATCGTCAAAGATACAGTATCAGACAAGAAAAAGAAACCCCACCGAGGCTATGCATTTGTCGTGTTCGAGCGCGAGAAGGATATGAGAGGTATCACCACCATGCCAATTTACTTGGCACTAAACCCACTTGTTCATTCCGTTTTGCGGTAAGAAATATTGCTGACACTAGTTCTTTCCCCAATACCAGCGGCCTACAAAGAAACAGAGAGCCTCAGAATCAAAGGACGACTAGCCGTGGTAGATGTCGAGCGTGGCCGCACTACCAAGGGGTGGAAGCCCCGTCGTCTTGGTGGTGGTCTCGGAGGGCGTGGATACACCAAGCTCTCGGCGGCCCCCCGCGGTGGACCTGGTGGTTTCAACGCACCATCCGGACCGGGTGGGTATGGAGGATTCCGTGGAGGCTACGGTGGCAGAGGTGGTGGTGGTGGTTTCCGCGGTGGAGGTTTCCGTGGTGGCGGTGATCGCTTTGGTGGTCCTCGCGGTGGTATCGGATACCAGGGCAACCGTGGCGGCTTCGGTGGACAGGCACCCCCTAACGCTCCCTCCGGTCCTGGTGGTGGACGCAGCGGAGGTTTCAGAGGTGGTAGCTTCGGCGGTGATCGTGGTGGTGACCGTGGTGGTGGCGCTGGTGGCGCTGGCGGCAGATTCGACCGTGGTGCTACTGGCAGCAATTCGGAGCCTGTGCGGCCTCGAGATAGCTATGCTGACCGTGACCGCCGCGACTATGACCGCGACGACCGTTACAGAGATCGTGACCGTGACCGTATGGGAGACCGAGGCATGGGAGACCGAAACGGAGACCGATTCCGCGACCGGGATCGTGAACGCGGTGACAGGTATGGTGGTGGCGGCCGTGATGGTGGCCGTGATGCAGGTCGTGATGCAGGTCGTGATGGCGGCCGGGAGGATTATGGACGCAAGCGAACCCGTGAGGATGAACCTGGGCACGATGATCCCCGTTCCAGGAGAAGGTACTAGGCCTTCACTTATCCCCCGAGTCTTACCTCTTTCCTGTGAAGTCTGGGTTTGCTGGTGGGTATCACTGATCTACCCAGTTTTCATCACTCTTTCTCAAGGGTAAGGGGGTAAATCATGGATTGGCCCATGTGCAATTCTGTCCGTTTCAACGATCACAACCGTCAATGTTTTCTACCTCACCCCACGATATCAACATCAGAACTCGATGTCAAACTGGTGATTCCTATACATCCCCTGCTTGGTCCACCTAAACTCCCCGGCAGACGGAGACCCTCATGAATTGTGCTTGTATTCCCCGTTCTATCTATTTTTTCTTTCCCTTGGTGTTTTCTTTCATCACTTGTGTTCCAATGCTTTTCTTTTTTTCTCCCTCTTTCCCCCTTGGTTTAATGAGATTTCGTTTTCTCTGCAGGGGTAAGTATTTGTATTTTAATCGGTCCTCTTCCGCGCGAAATGGAATCTGGTAAACCATCAGGTACGACCAGGTAAGGCCTATGTGAAATGACTAAAGGCAGGTATCTTGCTAGATAGATGAAGTCTAGGCAATACAGCTAGCAGATCTGCACTACGGTTTATCAATGTCCAAGAACGAAGTAAATTTGTAGACTTTTTTCGACCTGGTATCCGAATCTTGTTCATAGGCTCATAATCCAGCAGGAGGGAAAGCCCCCCATATAAGGACGAGAGAAAGAGAGATAAAACACACAAGTCTTCAATATATTTGCAAAGAAAGCGCCCTCACCAAACTCCATAAGATGCCCAGCAGAGTTCTTTTTTCGGCCACACGGAAGCCGAATTGGAAAGAGAAGAAATAAAAAACGGAAAAATATAAAGATCCCATCTATGCATCAACATCCATTCCACCCTCAGTCTCGAGGATCTTGACCTCCTCAGTACTCCGCGTCCAGTAGGCCTTGAGATCGACCTTGAACTCGGACGAGGTGATACCGAACATCTTCAACAACGTGGTCTGTCGTGAGTCCAGAGTCTCTCCCTCTTTGCATACGGGGTAACCCTCCTGACCCTCGGTCAACTCAAGCATAACCTTGCCCTTCACCAGACGGGTGGGGACACCGAGCTTGCGGAGCGCGGGCTCAATGGTGTGGCTGACAGGCTCATCCTGCTCAGTAGGAATCTCGCCGCCCCGAGCGGTGACCAGGCCGTTGGGGATGGTGAAAGAACGGGTGGCTTCGGTTCCAGCGC